ATGAGTGCAAGAGGATGCATCTCAAAACTGTTTGTCCATCCCCGTAGGTTGTGTATTCGTCTCAGATTCGACAACGTTTTAAATCGTAAGTTCTTAATCCTAGTTATAGATTCTGTTGCGCTCGGGTTTATTTTTTAGATTTGGATGTGCACATCATCGACGTTCGTAATCGAACCCAACACAGACCTCAATTCTTATATATGCTTGTTGCCCAAGGATACCTTGCTGCCAAAAAATATCTTATCTTGTTTCCCAAACATATCTCGTTGTCCAAGAATATCTATCTTGTTGCCCGTGACTATCTTGTTTCCCAAGAACACTTTATCTACTTTAGGTTGGCCCAAAGTATTCTCGTGGAGTATTCCAATCCTTGCAATACTAGCTCGACTAACCAGGTTTTTAGACATGTAGGTCGTTTGGTCGTTAACTCGACCTAACTCTTTTGGAGAGACTACCCGACAAAATTGACCTAATCGACCTAACGAATCCTTTCTCATGTCGACTTAGGGGGGCTCCAGTCTAGAACCAAGTTGTCCATATTATATCATTTGTAATCCTACGTGTTAATCTTTTGCGCTTATCTTTGGAGTAGTGCACTATGTGTGGACTTTTATCTTTCTTTTGAAACTTTTAAAAGTATAAATACAATATTACTTCATATTATAAATATATTTTAAAACGTAGTAAAATTTTTACTTATATATATATATGGGGCGGATCAAATGAGGACAGTTCTTAAAATGAGGACAACTCTTCAGATGAGGACACATCTTAACCATTGATTTTGTGTTGATCAATGGCTCAGATTAAGTAATTGGAATACTTATACACCTGTGTGAAAATAAATATGTATCTGGTTTGTTACAATAAATATGTCTCTCGTGCACAGTGTTTTTGCATTATTGATTCAATAACCATGCAACATTTTTATACTAACTGTGCGACACTTTATCACTAACTATGCAACAAAGTTTTTGCATTATTGTTTCAATAACCATGCATTATTTTGACACCAACTGTGCAACACTTTATTACTAATTATGCATCATTTTTACACCAACTTTGCAAGTCTAATTGTATGTAGTTGCAATGTTATTTTTTCTGTAGTTGCAAGGTTAGTTGTTTGTTGGTGCTAGGTTAATTGTCTGTAGTTGCTAATTTAGTTGATGTAATTGTTAGGTTAATTGTCTGTAGTTGCAAGTTTAGTTCTATCTAGTTGCAAGGTTAGTTATGTCTAGTTGCAAGGTTAGTAGTTACAAAGTTAGTTGTCTGTAGTTGCTAGGTTAGTTGTCTGCAATTGCAAGGTTAGTTGTCTTTAGTTGCAGGGTTAGTTGTATTTAGTTGCAAGGTTAACTATTTGCAGTTGCAAGTTTAGTTGAATGTAGTTGCAAGTTTAGTTATCTGCAGTTGCAATGTTAGTTGTCTGTAGTTGCAAGTTTAATTATCTGTTTTTGTAAGATTATTTGTGTTTTAGTTGCAAGGTTAGTTGTCTGTAGTTGCAATGCTTGTTCTCTGTAGTTGCAATATTAGTTGTATCTAGTTGCAAAGTTAGTTATCAGTAGTTGAAAGGTTAGATATATTTAGTTGCAAGGTTAGATATATTTAGTTGCAATGCTAGTTGTATCTAGTTGCAAAGTTATTTATCATTAGTTACAAGAGATTACATAATGCATACTATGGGTCAACGGTCAACGTCGGAGTCAACACCGGAAGTCAGTGGTCAACGGTCAATGTTAAAAGTCAACAATTTTCGTCGGAAGTCAATGGTCAACGCCGGAGTCAATGGTCAAAATAATATTTAAATAACTAAAATAATTAAAATAAAAAATTATTATTTAAATAAAGAGTTAAATCTTGGCCACACATTTTGATACCTTTTAGTGGCTAGAAGTG